ATAAGAATAACTAAATAGATAATGGCTACAAATTGCCCAAATTTGATGAAAAATACTGATTTACACACCCATGAATCTCCAACAAATTCCAAGTGTGATAAACTTTAAGAAGTTCACACTTAGAGATCTCATAAACAACTTGTTGAAAGACAGCGATGAAGAGAATTCTTGGAAGCAGCAAGAGAGAAGCAATTTATCATGTATAATGTATCCTCAATGAGATTAACAAATGAATTATTGCCAAAAACCATGGAGGCCAGAAGACAATAGAATGATATATTTAAAGAGATGAAAGAAAAATACTGATGTGTACTGAATTGTCTCCCCAAACTCATATGTTGAAGTCCTAACCCTCAGTATACCTCAGAATGTGACTATATTTGAAGATAGAACGTTTACAGATGTAATTTAAGTTAAATGATGGCATATGACTGTACCTTGATCCAATATTATTGATGCTGTTACAACAAGAGAAAAGGACAAAACGGAAATGCATGCCATGTGCCAGAAAAGGTCATATGAGCACACAGTGAGAATGCAGTCACCTGCACACCAAGGGGAGAATCCTCAGAAGATACCAACCCTGTCACCACCTTGACCTTGGACTTCCAGGCTCCAGAACTGTGAGAAAACAAATTTCTGTTGTTTCAGCCACCCAGTTCATATCTCTTTATGGTATCCCTAGCAGACAGATGCAAATACTGTCAGTTGTGAATAATACACCCAGCAAAACTATCTTTCAAAAATAAAGAACAAATAAAGACATTCCCACATAATCAACAACTCAGAGGAGTCATCACTAGCAGAACTGCCTTGCAAGACACACTCAAGTAGTCCTTCAGTCTGAAATGAAAGGACCCTTGGTAGTAACTCTAATCCACATGAAAAGTGCTAAGGAGGGCAGTTACATAGGTAAATATAAATATATTTGTATATGATACATATGTCATCTATAACTCTTTTTTCCCTATATGATTAAAAAGACAGTTGCAAAAAGCAATAATTACAAATCTGTGCTGATAGACATATAATGTATAAAGATGTAAATGGTACAATAATAACAGCACTAAAGGGAGACTGAAACTATATAGGAATGCAGTTTTGTATGCTATTGAAATTAAATGCGTATTAGCCCAACCAGATTGTTGTAAATTAAGATGTTAATTTTAAACCTCAGGGAAACCATTAGAAAAGAATTTTAAAATATATAGCAAAAGAAATAAGAAAAAAATTAATATAGTACATTCAAAAATATCTACTTAACACAGAAGAAAACAGTAGAGAGGGATTAGAACAAATGATGCAAGACATACAGGAAACAAACAGTAAAATGGTAGGTAACTCCTACCTCACCAATAATTATATGAAATGAAAATAGATGAAGCTGTTTAAAGGCTGAATGAAAAATGACTCCATTCTTTGCTGTCCATGAGTAATACACTTTAGACTTCGAGACACATGTAGACTGCAAGTAAAACAAAGGGAAAAGATGTCCCACGCAAGCAGTAACCAAGATAGAGCTGAAGTGTCGATACTAATATCAGGAAAAATATATTCTAAGACAAAAATTGTTACTAGAGGTAAATAAAGATATTTTATGTTGATAAAGGGGTCAATTCACCAAAATATGCAACACAAGCATATATGCATCTGCAACAGGACCCCACATTTTATGAAACAAAAACTTTAGAGACTGAAGAAAGAAAAAGACAATTTGACAATAATAGTCGAGAATTTAATACCTGAATTTCAATAATGAAAAGAACAACTAGGCATAATATTAACAAGGAAATAGACTTGAATAGTTCCATAACTCAACAAGGCATGTATAGGACGTTTCACCCCAAACAGCAAAATACAGTAAGTATCTATCTCCAGAACAGACCACATATTAGGCCATAAAAAATCTCAGTAAATTTAAAAGGATTGAAATTATACAAAGTATGTTTTTGACCACAATGGAATGAAATTAAAAATCAATAACAGAAAAAAATGGGGGGAACCTATAAATATGCACAAATTATACTCCTAAATAACCAATGGATCAAAGAAGAAATCAAAAGGGAAAACATAAAATACTTTTAGGCAAATGGAAACAAAAACACAACATGACAGAATTTCCAAAATATAGCAAAAGCAGTGCTTAGAGGGAATTAGGAATTTAACCATAAGAGAGAAATTTATAGGTGTTATTTTGACATTTGAAAAGAAGAAAGATCTCAAATTAAAAACCTAACTTTCCACCTTAAGAAAATAGAAAAAGAAGAGCAAACTAAACCCAGAGCAAGCAGAAGGAAGGAAATAATAAAGGCTACAGTAGAAATTAATGAATTAGAGTACAGAAAAACAATAGAAAAAATTGTAAAAAACAGAAGTTGGTTCTTTGAAAAAATCAACAAAATTGATAAGCTTTTAGCTAAACTAGCCAAGAAAAGAAGTGAGAAAAGACTCAAATAACCAAAATCAGAAATGAAAAAGGCAACATTACTACTGATCCTTCAGAAATTAAAGGGGAATACTATCAGAAATTTTATGCCAATAAATTCCATAATCTTTTTTTTTAATTATCATAAACAATGTAAATTTATTTCTCACAGTTCTGGAGGCTGGGAAATCCAAGATCAAGGTACCAACAGATTTGGTGACTGGAGAGGGCCAACTTCCTCATAGACTATTGTATTCTCACTGTAACCTTACATGGTGGAAGGGACAAGTATTCTTTCTGGGGTCTCTTGTATATCACATTCATAAGTTCTCTGCTGTCATGACCTAATCTCCTCCCAGAGTTCCCATCTTCTAATACCATCACTTTGGGAGTTAGGATTTCAACATATGACTTTTGGGGGTACATAAACATTCATTCCATTGCAAGGAGTTTGAACAATACAGCAGATCATATAAATGGTGGACAGCAGTTTTTATAAAAATAGTTTCTATTCTTTTCATTGGAATTGTAGAGCTTTACTTTGTTTCCTCAGACCTAGGTTTGAATGTGCTATTAGGAGAATTTTAATATATAGAAAGATGAGAAGAAAAAAGGAGTAACACTCTAGGCATAGGTGGATCAAAGCTAACCATAGTCCTGTGATCTAGGAAGTGATTAGAAATGCAAGTAATAGGTACTCAAGATGACATGATACAGAGTAACTACTGTCTACACAGTACTAGTTAGGTACTTTAATGTTTCGGCTATTCTTTAAAATAGGTGTTCCAAGGACAAAAATTCTATTATATGTACATTTCCTTTCTTGTAATAGTTCTATGGGAAAAAACATTTAGTCTATATACTGTAGTATTGTTTTTTAAGTTCATGGTTACCTGCTTTGGTGGTTCCCTCAAAAATCAACCATTTAAAAAATGTAAATGTTAAACGCTTTTGTGATGCACAAAAATACCCTATTAATTTGGCAAACTTGAATAATAATTGGTTAGACCAGTTATTCTCTTTGAGGGAACAACTGTTGAGTATTCAAACCACGGACTTCATTAAAGACCTTCACGTACTGAATCATTATGTACTGAATCTACCCTACACATACATAGAAACAGTATATATCTATATTTGTATGTACATGAGAACAAGTGATACTTGTATTTCAAATCTGTGTTATCTTTTTTGTCAGATTGTACGCGGGCCCTGAAGTTGATATCTGGAGCTGTGGTGTTATCTTGTATGCGCTCCTGTGTGGCACCCCCCAGATTTGATGATCTTAATGAAATGAAAAAAATTATTAGAAAGACACAATATAGAAAATCTAAATAGTAGTAACTAGTAATGAAACTAGTAATGAAATTGAATTTCATAACTAGTAATGAAATTGAACCATAAATTTCAAAAAAAAAAACTTCTCATAAAGAGAACCCCAGGACCAGATGACTTTACTGGTGAATTTTACCTAATATTTTAAAATAAATTATTACAAATTTTTGACAAGCCTTCCAAGAAAATAGGAGAGAAAGTACTTTGTGACTCAATCTGAGCCATTGTTACCCTGATGCCAAAATCAGACAAATATATCACAAGAAAAGAAAACTATAGACCAATAATCTGTATGCACATAGAGTAAAAATTCTCAGAAAATTATAGTAACCCAAATCCGGCAGTATATAAAAAGAAGTATAGCCAATGACCAAGTGAGAGTTATCCTAGAAATGCAAGGTTGGTTCTAGATTTAAAAACCAATAAATTTAATGTACATGCTAATAAAATAAAGGGGGGAAAAGCTGTATGGTCATCCCAATAGACCCCCTAGAAAGCATTTTACAAAGTTTGATACCCTTTCCAGGTAAAAATACTCCACAGACTAGTAATCGAAGGAAGCTTCCTCAATCTGATAAAGGGTATCAACATAAAAAGTAATGAAATATTCATACACGCTACATGGATGAACCTTGAAAACATTATGCTTGGTTAAGGAAGCCAGTCACAAAATACCACATGTTATGTGATTCCTTTTATATAACATATCTGGAACAGGCAACTCCATAGAGGAAAAAAGATGAAGAGATTGGTGTTTGACAGAGGCTGGGGACAGGGGCTTATGTAGTGACTGCTAATAGCTGTGGGGATTCTTTTGGGGGAATACAAAAATATTCTAAAATTAGATTGGAGTGATTGTGGCACAATCTGGTGACTATACTGAAAACCAGTGGATTGCATGCTTTAAAATGGTGAATTTTATAGTACATGAATTACATCTCAATTTCTTAAATGTCTGGTTTTGAGGTTTATTTCCTGTCTTACTATATACCTACACACACACGATAAGAAAATAAACTTTGATCAAAAATCTCTCACATTGGATTATAATCCATAGCTCAAAGGTAGTGATGTAAACTTTAAGCAAAAATCTTCTATTTTAAAGTTCAATAGGTTATGGAGAAAATTAGGAATTTAACATAACATTAAAGTTAAGCAAAAACATCATTTAAAGAAAATGTCAGCAACCAATTTTATTAACATCTTTTCTATAAAAGACATTCTCCTTTTCAAAGCTTACCTCATATCAATCACTTGACTCACTACAACACTGGGTTTCAAGTCTTCTTCGTTTATATCATATAGAAAGAGTTTGAAGTCGCAAACTATAGCCAATGTTCTCTGCCATCCATTTTTTACTCCTGTTTTCTTTGGGACCTTTAGTGTTGATTTTTTTAAAGACAAAAGCAATCCAAACTGAAACCTCAAATACTATGCGATTATTTAATATGAAATTAAAAGAATAAAAATGCGTTATAAGTGGGTCACTTTTCTTGTTCAAGATACAGAGCAGAACTATATAGCATAAATAAAATTTTAAACAACAATGCAATTTCTCTGAGGACTGAATGACTCTTGTGTTGCAAAAATAAACTTGATGCCATTTCAGTTAACACCTAGTGATCCATTTACACAACAGTCACAGCTTTGACTCTTGGTAGCTTTATACTCAAATTTGATAGCACCACACCTCACATTCAACTCAGATTTTAAATTAGTCTCAAAAGTTTTCGCTTTTAGATTCTAATTTGTTCCAGGTGGTTGGGAGTCAAAGCTACATCATTTGTAGAGATTTCACCATTTATTCATTACAAGGTAAGGTCTAAACAGAAAACTTAAGGAGATTTCAAAATAACCTATTGGGGACAGCTAAATTTTTTTCTTAAGTCATTTTCTTAGGATAGAACAAAAATCAGCAATAGCACGTAACATAACATATTGTGTATTAAAAATATCATCTATGACCAATGTGCTCACAACGTGAGATGATTGACAAACTTTTGAAGTTCATCTAAAGTCAAAATATTGACACTTACCCAGACCTGGCCTTCACAGGCTGTGCCCGTGCCTTCCCGTGGGTCAAGGCAGAAGGAATCCTTCTTCTGCTGAGAAGGCACTGGACAAACTTGTGGGACTTTTTCTACACAAGTTGTGTGGCACAAGAACCCACATGCTTGTGGAAGGAAGCAAAGAGATAAGATTGCAGTAAATGTGATGGTTTGACGGCCTCGCCCTCCACTGCAATTTTGTCTACTGTGGCAGAGGTGGACATGCTAAAAATGGCATTCCTCAGCTCCCTTGCAACTAAGGTTTCGAGCTTGATTTAAATTCGGCTAATAAGATAAATGTGCGTGAGCATTCAGGTCCAGCTGTGAGAGAGAGAGGCTACAGAGCATGTTTTCTACTGGCGTGGCTGCCGACAGAGTGAGTGTGGCAGTCACAGCTGCAGCAATGACATCCCAGTGTGGTATGAGCTTTCTCAGTTCTGCAGGTGACATCCTGACTCTGCAGACCCCACATGGCAACGTCTTCCCTGACCCTGGCAGCAGCGGCAGCAGGCTGCAGGACTGCAGTGGTGGTGGCAGGAGCCTGATTTGTGTCTTCTCCCAGCACTGAAGGCAACTGTCCCGGGCCCAGTGGAGGGGCTCAACACAGAGCCAGCTTCTGCAGCCTTAGGAAAACGCAAAGCCCCTATTTCCTCCTTTTAAACCCCATTCTGTGTAGTAGCGAGGGAGGGAGAGGGAAAATCAGATTGATGCAGCCCGCAGGAGTCTGTCTTGCTCCTTGCTACGTCTCTGGGTGAGCTCTGGGCAGGGCTGGCTGAGAAACCAACTGTTCTTCAATACGAGGGGCAAAATGTCTCGAATGACACTGTGATGGACCGGTGAATAGTCCCCCAAATAAACTGCTTTTCTTCAATAGCATTCACTGTAATAAGTTAAACAAGTCAAATAAAACTGTGACGCCCCCGGTTTGGCATTCCTTCCTCCTGCCTCATAAACGTGTGGATTTGGGCCTCAAGCTCCTCCACCGCTGCAGGGAACAAAATGTATTTAAGCACATTTTCTGCACAGATGTTGCCCTGCCTGCAGGCCAACCCTGTGTGATGACAGGCATGGTGACAAGGCCCATGCAATGCAAAGGTCCCTCCCAGGGCGCCCAGCGACCGTCCCCCTAATCTTTCCAATGTACGGCAGACTCAGTGAGATTTTTGGTGAAGCCATCAGATTACTGTCATGCTTATACAACGAAGAGAAACAAAGTGTCTGTGTCATGACTCAGGCATGAACGTCCTGGCTTTGATTCCACCCGACCCTCCCGTCTCAGCCTTACCGTCACAGACACAGCCCTGCCGCAGCAGGCCCACCATCAGGGACGTGCACTGGTGACACTTGGTCGGGACAGTGAAGGACGTGAGGAAAAACCGGTGGCTCTTATTCTACAAAACACAGACACCAAACACACACCCATAGTTCAATGGCTTGGAAATCTGGTGATTCCTCAAACCTATCCTGTCCAAATTCATCTCCACACAAAGAAAAGGAGCTCGCTTGCTTTCTCACTGGCATTTAAGAGTCTTGTCCCTTAATTATTTCTTAACTGGAAAATATCAAGCAAGTGATCCTAAAAATTACCAAAAGAATGATTATCATCATCATGTGGCCCTCAGATGTTAATTCAAGTTTTTGGAACCAGGTAAACGAAGCCTGGCTTTTATTTGTGCTGGTATATTCTGAGCATTTGAAAAGATGGTTTCTGGATTGAAACACTCTTCAGAGTTTTCTTTAAAGATGGATTAAATGAGAATTGCCTATGTGCACATACTTTTTATGCAGCAGGTGACAAAATTTGCGGTTTTTATATGACATCTTCTTTGGAAAGAAACAATAATTTCAAAATGTGTTCTCTATAGTAAATCTTGTGTTTCATTTTCTACTGTCAATAAAACACAATTTGCTTCATGAGTTGGCAAACTCTTATAAAGCAGGTCACATGACACTTCCTAGAAAGAAGGATCCTGAAATTTCTAGTTGAAACTCCAAGAACTTCAACTTCCAATATCTTCACAGATTCAGACACAAGTTGATCATCCCCAGTGGATTTCTCAATTCTGGATTGTGCCTCTCTGCCCTCAAATTATTGCTAGCATAAATTGGCAATACGTAAATTATGATAAAAGTGTGGCTTCTCCAATTATTTTGTGACACATTGTCTCAATTTATTTGTGTCTCTATGTCCTCATCTGTCAGACGGACAGAGCTGTGGCCTAGGTACAGGGGTCTACCTGCTCCCAGGTCTCAAATTGGCTTCTAATGAGTGCTTTCAGCACCTCCCACCACCAATCCCTCCTGGAGATCTAGTGTCTCTGATCCCTGAGTCTTTTGAGGGTTCTTACTTCTTTTTGGCATACCCTTTCTAAGCACTTGACAGTCTAGATTCTCGGCTCTGCTAACCCTTCCCGCAGGCTTGCATCTTCCAAAATCATGTCGACTTTTTTTGTCTACTCTGTTTTAACTTTAGCGAGTTTCAGAAGAAAGCAGACATACATTCATTTTTTAATCTACCGTGCTTAACCAGAGTCGAAAGGGAAAGGAAAGAAGAAGGTAGGAAGGAGGGAAGGAAGGAAGAAAGGAACCCTTTTTGTATTATAAATGATTCTAATCAAATGCCTTAAAATCATACATTAATTTTTGCAAAATGGAGAGTTCACCATGTTTATTTTATTCCTAGTTTTCTTTGACCTATGTTTTTGTTATTGGCATATGAATCTTTTCTAGTTTCTTGTTTAGTTGTTTGTTATATAATAGAGATAGCCCATGTTGTTTGTATATTTACCTTATATCCAACATGTCTCACTAATTTTTTTTTTTTTTTTTGGAGTTAGAATCTCACTCTGTCACCCAGACTGGAGTGCAATGGCTGCTCCCGGCCACTGCAGCCTCGACCTGCCGGGCTCCGGAGATCCTTCCGCCTCAGCCTTCCGAGTAGCCGGAATTACAGGCATGCGCTACCACGCCCGGCTGATTTTTTGATTTATTGTAGAGATGAGGTCTCGCCAAGTTGCCCAGGCGGGTCTCGAACCCGCGGGCTCAGGCAATCCACTCACCTCAGCCTCCCAAAGGCGCGGGATTACAGGCTGAGCCACCGAGCCCGGCTTGTCTCACTAATTTTAGTGAACTTTTTAAAATGGAAGTCTCAAGTTTTCTGGGAAAAAAGCTATGTCAATCACAGTATGAAAGAGATTTATCTTCCAGTATTTATTTCAGTCCTTTTAGTTTCATCTCTTACTGCATTTCCTAGAATATTTAAGAAATTACTGAATACTAATAGTGATACGGGGTAATTCTATTTCATTCTTGATTTTCACTGTAAACCTTTAGTATTTTGGAAAACTATATTATATTTATGAATTTATTTCGAATGTTGTAACATCTGGTTACTTATTGCTAATAAAGAGAAATACTTTGAATACCCTTGTCATTTTAAATTATGTTTTGAGTTCATTCTCTTACTTCAAAAACCAAAGAGAGGCTTTCTCTATTCCAAGGTTATTAGTTATTCTAGAACATTTTTAATACTTCTGTGGTTTCAGATTTACATTTAATTAAAAGATAAATTTAGAATTTATCCTGATCTCAGTTATAAGATATGGGTCCCTTGAGTTAGTATCAGAGGAAAGATTCAAGTTAGTTTATCATTGTCTAGATGTTCTTAACAGGGCTTGATACAAACACTAAAACTTGCTGAAGAGAAAAGAATTATTCTGAAAATTTCACAAAGTATTTCACTTCTGCCTTTGGTGCATTGCAACAAGAATTTTTAGTGTGATTTTCTTTAGCTTTATTTTTTCACCTGACCTGAGTTTTGAGAAATATAACTCTGGAAAAAAACTTTTTCACTAAATGCCAGGGCAATAACAGAGAACAAAAATGAATTATTATTATTAAGAATAGAATGTTAACCTACAAAACTTACAACGAAATCAAGTACCTTAGGAGGAAAGAGGATTCTACTATGATATTCCTTTCTCCTTATTGTTGGCGTGTGGACTGGAAGATGAGCAGAATCTACAATCTGAATGAAGGGAATAAAAAAGAAATAAAGGCAAGTTAATTTTTTCCCCCAAAATTACAAGAATCAAACAATTCCTCAAGTTAGCAAGATAATTATACTAGGTAATAGAATAAGACTCAGTGAAACTAAAATTTTAACAGAGCTTTAAAAAAATGCGAGAGGGGACCCAAAATAACCCAGAATTATCTTTTGGAGGACAGACCCCCCCCCCACTAAGTGTTCTAGTAACCCATCAGCATCAGTGTGCCAGCTAGGGTTGTTGTGAGAGGCTGCATTTGGTTTAATGATTTTGAGGGGGTTTTTTTGTAGATTCCTTCAAAGTGCTTGTGTATTTCATGTGTATTTCATGACAGGTGTTTTATGAGCACACCTGCCCACACAGAACTACAGGAAACATGGTGTTCAACAGTTTTTGACCAAAGGCAGAATGACCCCTGTCCCACCCTTCTTATTTACTGGATCTCACCCTGAGCAACTA